TACTCCAAGGGTTTCGGCGTCACCAGTGCTCTGATGGTGCTCGCTATCCTTTCGTCGTTCTTGTTTCTCAAAATGATGTGATCGCCCTCATGTAAACCTGTCGAATCTTCCTCAACGGCCACACTATCCTCTACTATGCCCTACTCCCCTGCACTAGGATGACGTCCACACACACTCCCATTCCCACAGTTTCGCGTACTTCCAGCACACGACAGATAAGGGGACCAGGCTTCACTGCTAGCCGGTTGGGGAGGAAGCGTTGACAGAAGGTCGCCTGTAAAACCATCGACGTACATTCCATGATGTAGTCGTTCGCTACCAGTAACAGAATCAAATCAGAAACGCCCTCCCCTGTGAGTGCTGACACCGGCACCACCGAAATATCCTTTTTTTCGCCACGACCAAGCTCCCAATAAAGACCCGTATTCAGCCCTAGCTCGGCAAACTGAACCTGTGGAAGATCGAATCAGCAACCACAGTGTAGGAATATATGTTTGGTTCCAAGAGCGACTCACTCTAACTCTGGTCCAGCGCATGTGGAACTCGTCACTGGTACCACTCGCTTGCCTCTTCAACCCCTCTTGAACTGATCCACAAGTGCCCGCTCGCCACCCGTAGAGGCGATCAATCTGATAATAAAACAACAACGAGCATAATTGGAGTTTCACCCTAGTTATATTCATAACATACAAAAATGATAGTTTTTTACACGGGTGTTTTTACCTGGTTGAACCTCATGTATTGGAGTTTCACCCGTTTTACGTGAAGCGGCGTAAAACTCGGTGAAAAATGCGATATGCGCGGTGAAATGCAGTAGTCGTAAAATATGTTTTTCATATCACTAAGGTCGAACTCCATTACTATTCATCCGATACGAAAATTTGGCAATCGTATTTATAAAGTTTTATAATCTACCTTATACCATAATATCAACAAAAATCAGGATAAAAGTAATATTCCGCAGAGCAAGTCGAAATCAACAAGAGTAGTGCAGACCTTGTTGAGAGCAATAACAAAGGGTCTTCGTTGCT